AAATGACTTTTTTTTTCTGTAACTATCTAGTTGAAATATATTAAATGATTTTAAAAATTCTACACTATATCAACTTTATTTGACTTTTCATGATGACACTATTTTTTCACACATGAATTTCTTTCAGGTACTGCTTGGGTATGGGTGTGGCTGTAAGCCTTCTTCTTATTTTCATTGAGAACCTCCACTATTAGAAAAGGGAAACAAAATGGACCTATTTAAAAACTACTGTTTTTTTTTCTAAACAATCGATCATATGCTACCCATAGTATTCTACAAAAGTGTGGTAAGTATCATCTCCGAAAAAGTGCATTATATCAGTATGGTATAGAAAGTATCGGAAACTTATATATTTTTAAGATAAGATATTCATTCAATATCGTATAAGCTATTCGATCGAAGCATTTATGAAATAAATTTTCAATATGTTGACAATTAAATCATAATTTTGAAACAAATTACTTGATTCAATTTCTCTTTGAAAGTAAATAACTGATTTTCTTTAAAAAGTCGCAAACAGAACTTCACCTTTACACAGGCAATGTCTTCTCCTGAAGGATAAAAAGTGTTAACTATCTGCAACAGAAAGTTGCTAGTGAGAAATGCAGAACGTTAGAAAAATTTAGAAACTACTAAGTGTCTGTATTCCTAAAAGTAGGTGTTGAAAAGTTTGTTTATTTCATTTTTCATGTTTTTTTGATTTCTTATCTTAATTATGAATTGATATAAAACAATAAATGCTCATATATATTATTCAATCAACCAGTATAAAACTCATGATCGTATTATTATAAAACCTTACATGAAATTATTCATGATTTCTATGTCCATATAAATACATTTAAAACGACAGCTTCACCTCACTTTTCGATTTGTTAATATTCATTTTTACTGATAGTAAATGGCCTGATCATTAATGTGTTGTGCATATCAAATTTCATCTCATTCAGACAAATGATGAGTGCACTCATAATGAATCTCAAATCACAAACATATATACATACATATATATAAACACATTTGTTTTTTGTTCTCAGTTACAATTCTTTTGCAGTTTACTTTCCGAAGCAATTAGAAGTTAAGATTTGAACGAAAATAATGCGACTTTGTCTATTATTTTTATTTGTTGGATTGTCATCAACATATGAGCATTGGTTTATTTTTGATCAATATCAATTTCCAGGATTTTATACACCATTATTTACATTAATTTCTTCATCAAATAATAAAACAGGTCGACAAGAAGAAAAAAATCTTTCATTTGCATTATCTACTTATGAACGTTCTATTAATATTATTATTAATAGTGGTAGTTCAGATAAAACAATAAAACGAGATGAACAAATGATTAAATTAAATATTGAACGCGCTGATTTATTACATAATTCATTAAATCATTTAATTTTTATTAGTGTACGACAAGGAACTAAATTTGAAACGTATGTTAATTGTAAATTAATTGATTCATATTTACTTTATTCATCATATCAAATTAATGAAGATGATAATAATGATGAAAATTCAGCGTTTCAAATCGAAAATTTAGCAAATGGTATTAAACATTTTGAAAGTAAAACAGATGAACATTATCATCAACAAATATTTGATAACTTTGGTTGTAAACAATCGGGAACAACTATTGTTACGAATAATAAAACAACAGTTATTGGACGACCATTAATTCGAAAAATGCAACATGTTATTGAAAAAGTTCAAAGACGTAAACTACGATCAAGGTAAAAATAATTTTTTTTTTTCTTAGAGTTCTTCAATTATTAATCATTGTCACTTGTATAGACGTCATCAAAATCAACAATCTTTTTTTGAATTGGCCTCAGACTCATTGACTATCATTTATAAACCAAATGTTGCTCAATTAGATGATAGTCGAACAAATTTTCATACTATTCTAAATGTATCACAGTTTGGATTTTATATTCTATATTATCCAAAAGAACATCTCTTTAGCATTCGATTTAATAATGAAAATCGTACTCAAATTATTTTATATGCTGATAAAGCAACGGATCTTCTTAATTCTCGTAGTAAATCACAAGAATCATCGTCCAACAATAATCTATTATCAACGGTTATTCTTTTTATACATATAACACCAACAATGATAACATGTTATGTTAATTGTGAATTAACTGATCAAGAATTTATTATTGATTCATTATATGTACAAAATATAATACGACAAACAATGTATAAAACTCTTAATAATCAACAATATGAAGACAAACAAATTATGGAATATGATCGTCAATCAACATTAATTTTATTTAATAAATCCATTGATCAAATAGCAGCAAATTTTTTTTGTTTAAAATTAGATAAGAAAAATGAAGATTTATTACCTGATAAATATGCTTTACGGTAATATAAAAAAAATTTTTTTTTGGCAACATAATATTTTTTGAATTTATTTTACAGAAAATTTGCCAATGCTCTAGATATGTTGGTTAATAGTCTTGATGGACCTATAAATATAAATCATCGTCAAGAACAAATATTACCAACTCCTACAACGACTATACAAAGTATTTCAGCTGTTAATATTCATACAATAGATAGTTTTGGAAGTCTTATAGCACCTTCATTAAATACAGATATTAATACAATATCAAATGATATTAGTGAATATGATAAATCATGTCTTACTGATCAAGATTGTAATTCAAATAATTCACATTTAAAATGTCAACATAAACATTGTGTATGTTCGACACGTTATTTTTGGTCACCAATTTTACGTCGTTGTATATCATGTAAAGATTTATCAATTGGTAATCGTTGTTTTCGTTTATCAAATCATAAATCAACATGGTATGAAGCAAATGAATATTGTCAAGAAGAAAATTTATCCGATGATCAACAAGAATATACAATGAAAATAGCATCAAATCTTAATCGTACTGATATTGAATTACTTCGACAAAGTCTTTTACAAGAAGATGATGGAGAACAATTAGATTATTTTTATTGGATTGGTGCAACAAGTCAATTTGATACACGAAAATTACATAGACAGAGTGAACGAAATAAACGACACGTACCAACAACAATATTTCGTTGGTATGATAATGGTGAAACAGCACAATTAAATATTCCAGATATATGGTGTTCACAAAGAGAACAAATGAATATAGCAACAGTTAATAATAATGAATTATGTGTCAGTCTTACTTCCTGTGGTTTATATGCTGATGATTGTCAACGAAATTATAGATTTTTATGTGAAGCTGTTTAAGACGAACGTCTCTTTCTTTTCCTTTGACGAAATAAATTTTTTTTTTTTTGTAGTGGAAAAAAGTAATTTGATAGGTTGTAACAGTTGTTACTAGTTGAGAAAAACAATATGGATTGATAACAATAAAAAAATAATTAGAAACAAAGTTCTTCTCTATTTATCTAATACTATTTTTATTTTTCATATTTAAACGAAATATTTATATATGTATGATTATTTTATCTAAGCAGAAAAATAAATAATAAAATTTTACTCATATGTTTTTCGTAGGAAATGCTGAAATTCTCAATACGATATATTACAGGTTCTTTTTTTTAATGTTTATATATGATTTTTATTAAAAAACGTATTCTAGGAATGTTTTTAGAAATTCCTTCTAAATGCATTCGAACAAAACTCTTTGTAATAAAAGATATTCTCATTATTCATAGAACATGATCAATGCGAAATATGTCACGAATAAAAGAAACAAGTTTTTATCTAATATGACCAGATTTAAACAGATCAAAAATTCTTCTTTATCATTTAGAAACATACATTTCTCGTATACGCGAACATATGTCGTCTAGTTGTTTTTGGTTCTATGGTTTTCAGGACATTTCTTTTATTTTTTTTTGTCAAAAAAATAAAAATATTTATCTAAACGTGACCGTTAAAAATTTTGATCATGTTTATTTAATCGTTCAATTTTATAAACTGTTGTTACAAAGAAAAATCGAATAGAATGAAATGTACTCAAATTCCAACTACACCATACAGATCAAACACGTATTGATTCTTACATAGTGAAGAGTCAAAGACTTTTTAGTACTTTATAAATGTTCATAATAGTTACATAATATTATATTTAATATTTTTCTATATCCCTGATTATTACAGATGTCTTCAATAGCAAACAAAAGCTTTTTTTACTACAAAGCAAAATAACTAGAAATTATTTTTAAATTTTATTAAATACAAAACTAAATTTTAATGTTAATGAGAATAATTTCGTTTTTCAAAGAGGTCGCTATATATAAATTCAGAGAGGCCTGATATCATAGCAAAATCGACAATCCATTGGTTTCTAAAATTTGAACCATTCATAAAAAAGTATTTTGTTCGCTGCTGTAAATTGTTTGTTAGATCCTCCATTATCGATTCACAATTATGATAAGATTGAAATTCTAAAAAAGTTTAACATCATGACGGTAAAACAAAATTATACGATGTTTTTTTTGTATTAATTTCTTTTTCTTTTTTTTATTCTTTTAATTCATAGAATTTAATCTCAACAAATCGAAAATCAAATACAATTGGATCTGTTCCATTTAATGATGATATTTATTCAATATCCTTATATTGTTCAAAAAATTATGTTTTACATTTGAATATAGGACCATTTTTATTACTTTATATTCTTTGGTTTGTAATATGGATATTTCATTTTGGACTTGGAGAATATCCCGAATTAGGAATGATAGTTACTGTTATTATTGCAATATTACAAATCATTACATGTCTTTTTTGTTATTGGTTTGTTCAAATACGTGCTTTTATGCAATGTGTGCCGGTAAGATTTTCTTGTTTTGTTTTTTTTTGACATTTAATTTTTTCGAAAATAATTTTTATTTTTATTTTTAGGAAAAAAATCCATGGAAAGCAGAATTAGTTGTCGTAAAACCGACGGCAAATAATGGTTATTCAGAAATGGTACCATTACATCATGGAAAAGTAAGAAAATCTATGTTTAAACCTTTGCGCCTAAAAAAAAACAAAGTAAAAACATAACATATTGAGGTATATGCATGAAAAAATAGCCTGAGGTTTGATTTTTCATAGATGACATGAGTTTTTATTTGATAATTCATTTTTTACAAAAACGAGATAAAATCTATAGAATATCTGCAGAAAACCTGATGGTATAAGGCTGCAAATTTCATATGATTTGGGTAAAAATCATTTTTTGATGGAGAAGGAAGTAGCGTAAAGCAATTTTTTGTGAGAAGTAGGATCAAATTGAGTTGTGTGCGCCTTTTTTGTTTCAAAAATATCGTTGCTAAGGATTCTGAGAAGCACTAAAGTTTTGAAGAAAAAAGATTGAATTCGATCAGACGTACTATGTCTAAAGAAAAAGGAAGAAAACATCTTTCTTTTTTTCGTTCAAAAATTATTTTCAAGAATAACAAAGAACAAAGTTTCCTGTGAATTACTTTTAATAAAATTATCGCATAACAAATAAGATCGCTCGTTGTTATTACACTGAACAGAAAACATTTTAAAGTTGCATTAGTTATCAAAAATCACAAGTTTCCATTTTTGTTCTCAGAAATGCAAAGGATTCATCCCTTTTGATATAAGTTTTACTATTTGAATATATTTAGAATCCTCATGATCAACGTGAACATGCATGGTTTATATTTCAAAAATGTCGTTATATATATGATGAAAGTGAAAAAAAAACTTTTCAAACCATTGAATATCCATTATCAAATTCATTTTCATCATATCTTCAATCAAAAGGTTATCAAACACAAGATGATATTGATCAAGGAATATGGAATTTTGGACTTAATACGTAAGAAAAAAAAAATTAAACATAAATATTATTTATTTTTGGTTATAGTATGTTCATTGATATTCCAAGCTTTATTGATTTATTTATTGAACGAGCTACAGCTCCATTTTTTGTCTTTCAAGTGTTTTGTGTTTTACTTTGGTGTTTAGATGAATATTGGTAAGATTTTTTTTTTTTATTGGTTTGAGAAAAATATCTTTCTGTCATAATGATGATTCTACATGCACCACTCTGATCATGATCAGATATGAGGAAAGTTATTTCCTAATATTGTCTGAAGACAGAAGATATTTATTTAGGTTTTTTTTTTTTCTCTTTTTATGTAAAACAGTTCTATGATGAATCTAACGACGGTCTTCAGAAAAAGAATGATCGAAAAATAACGATTCTAAACCCATTTTGAACTGAGAACTGTAAGAAGATTTCTATTGTTTTTCATATTCATTTCATGAATGGTTCATCAATGTTTTTTCTGATATTTCAATTTGTTCTTTTTATAGTATTGTATGAAAAAAATTGATTTTGAAATAATTCTTTATCATCGATGTTATACTTCACATAAAATCTATCATTCGTTGTTCTTGTTGATAAATTTCAATTCAAGTAGATGTTCTTTTTTTCTTTTCGTCTAAAAACAAATGGACAAAAAAAGAAAGTTATATATACTTAAGTCTTTTGAAATTTAACTTTGTGAATGTTTTTTCGTTTTTTTTTCTGTCATTAATAGATATAAATAATAGCTGTTGTCTTTTTTTTTTAATGAAGCACTTGTACTGAAGTTATGTATGATAAGATAAGAGCTTTCAACTTTATCAGCACTTTACTCTCATAATCGAGAGATACATTTTATATTCAAAATATTGTATTTCTAAGGAACACTTATTAGTGCAATTGCTGTAGGTTAAAAATTTGAAAGACGATTGATCTGCAATATATTCTTCTGTTAAGGACTTTCAGTGTATTGTTATATTCGTCATGAAAGATATTGAAGTGATTTTCATTAGACAAAGCATGCTGACTAATTTGTGACAAATGCTTGTTCGCGTATCTATGAAGAGTACAAGAACTGAGAAAATATATGAATCCTCTACTAGATCGCATTCTATACGAAAGTGAAGAAGTACTCTTTCTTTATACTTCAACACTCCACTGAGATCATGTTTTACAAAAATCTCATTTTTAAAGTATCATAGGCACATATAGTAGAATTTGTCATACATCTTGAAATGTATGTCAAATGTGCAAAACTAAAATAGAATTGAATATTTGCTAGTTAAAAATTAAGATGCTTATATGTATTTTTTTTAATATACAGATTCAATATAACATATTGTTTTTGTTTTTTATAGGTATTACAGTTTATTAACATTATTTATGTTAATCGTATTTGAAATAACTTTAGTTCAACAACAAAAACGTAATATGGCTATGATTCGTCAAATGGGTAATCAACCATATAAAATAAATGTTTATCGTCAACGAAAATGGATTAAAATTGATACAACAGATATATTACCAGGTGATTTATGTTCAGTTTTACGAAATAATGAAAACAATCCATTACCTTGTGATATGTTATTATTACGTGGTCAATGTATTATTGATGAGTCAATGTTAACTGGAGAATCAATACCACAAATGAAAGTAAGAAAAACAATTAAATCTCCTAGGATTATGATTTTTTTTTTCATTGACGTACTGATTGTCATTTTATAATGATGGCTATAAGATTTTGCCAATGAGGAGATTTAAGTTTTTCTTGTTTTTGTTTTTTAGGAACCAATTGAGAATGTTGATGAAAATACAATATTTGACTTAGAACGTCATGGAAAATTACATGTACTTTCAGCTGGTACTAAAATTGTTCAACATACACCACCAGCTAAAATGCAAGGTGGAATGAAAGGTATCGTCTTTTTTTTTTCTTCTTAAAAGATATTATTTCTTTCTATTCGACAAGTAATTCTTCTATTTGGAAGTTGTTAAATAAGATATATTAATGTAAGTTTTTCTTACTAGAGATTTAAAATATTTATCTCAAAAACGGTTTTAATTTTTGTAAACAAATTTCTTTTAATTAACTTTATGAAGAGAAATATCAGCAAAGAAATAGATTATTTTGAAAATTAAAGCCATCGAGAATTACATAGAATTTTTCCTAGATATTACAATGATTGATATCAATAACAGATTAATAACTTCTGATATGATTTTTATCTCATTAGACACGTCTTATAAAGATTTGTGCTTATATATACTACTTTTGTTGAATCATACTTTGTGAGAATAAAGTTTTCAATATAACTCGTTCATTATGAAACTATTAAACATTCTTCTCTCTCCTGTTTTGAGATGTAAATATAAAAATAAACTTTCCATTATTAATATCTGAGGATAGGAGATACTAAAACATCTGACATTTTAATAATGAACTACTCGCTTTAGGAACTTTATAAATGCAAATTTTGAACTTTTTACACTTGATTATGATGATGATTTAACAGAGGAAATATAGTAAATATGTTGAAAAATTCACTAAAGTATTCATAATTTGAAAAAAGAAAAATCATAAGCATGAATACTTATACGGTTTGCTCAATGAGATTCTGGTCAACTTAGAAGTAATTTGTCATGCATGAAGTTTCTTTCTTTGTTTTAATTTTTAACATATATCACTCATGAATAAACTCTTGGCATAGATCAAAAGTTGTTTTTTTTTTCTAGCAAGTGACAATGGTTGTATAGCATATGCACTTCGAACTGGTTTCAGTACATCACAAGGAAAATTATTAAAAACAATTTTATATAGTGTTAAACGTGTTACAGCTAATAATCTTGAAACATTTCTCTTTATTTTATTTTTACTGGTTTTTGCCGTTATTGCTGCATCATATGTATGGATTGAAGGTAAGAAAAACATAAAAAAAACGAATTAATTTTTTCTAAAATCATTTCGAATGATGTGAAAAAAATATTTTGATTTTGTAATCTTAATGATATAATTTATAAGATTAGAGTCACTGACGAAATGATAAAATATAAATCATTTAATTTATTTATGTATTGTTCTTTTTTTTTGTTTTTGACAGGTACAAAAGATACAAAACGTAATCGTTATAAATTATTTATTGAATGTACATTAATTTTAACATCAGTCGTACCACCAGAATTACCTATTGAATTATCACTTGCTGTTAATACATCATTAATAGCTTTAGTTAAACTTCGTAAGAATATTCTTTTTTTTTTGTTTTCTAGTTTAAATAATCTTCTATTGAATATATATTTTAGTTATTTATTGTACGGAACCATTTCGTATTCCATTTGCTGGAAAAGTTGATATATGTTGTTTTGATAAAACAGGAACATTAACAAGTGATGATCTTGTTGTTGAAGGTGTTGCTGGAATACAAAAGTAAGTTGTTTTCGGTTCTGTTTTTAATAAAAGAGTTTTTAATCAAAGACAAAAAAAAACTAACAATTAATTGCAAACTTCTAAAACCTTTCTAAAAAAAATAGATTTCGCTAGTTTGCAAGAATAAATCATAAATTTTGATCGGGCAAACTCAACTTTCAATGAAACTATGCCTAAATATAATTCGTACATTTAGTTCTGATGATCCAATACCATTATCAAAAATCGATGTTCAATCACCTGTAAAACAAGTTCTATTAACATGTCATGCATTAGCTAATCTTGATAATGATATTATTGGAGATCCATTAGAAAAAGCAACATTACATGCACTTGAATGGACCGTTACACGTGGTGATACTGTCGTACCAATAAAAGGTCGAGCTGGACGATGGCAAATAGTTCAACGTTTTCATTTTTTAAGTGCATTAAAAAGAATGTCAGTTATTGCTGGACAAAGTCCATCACCTTCAAGTAATGAAACAACATATATTGTTGCTGTTAAAGGAGCACCAGAAACACTTAAACCAATGGTATGTTTTTAAGGAAAAGTTGTTATTTCTTGAATTTGTATAATTTTTATTTAAAACAAAAATGGATATACGAAGGATGATTTATTTGAATGATGCAAATAGTGATTAAGAATATTTTATATAAAACTCAAACACTGAACTGACGTTGTCCATTTTATACATATTTCAAAAAAGGAAAAAGCTCGTCTCTTAAACAGTTGATTTCATTCGACTTTGACTAATTGAATATCGATATTATCAGCTAATGAAATATCTGTATCATTAATATATAATAAATTTTCATTTCGTTCGATTCCTGCTGATAATGTTATTCCACCAGGAATACTTTTTAATTCTGAAAATTTCATATGTGCTTTATATGGATCATATAAAAATTGATAATGAATAGGTAATGATTGTCCTCTATATAAACGTATAGTTTGTGAACCTAATTCAATACATGGAACATCATGTCGAAGAGAATCTCGAACTGAAACATAAAGAATTTCATCACCATTAAATTTTGGTTGTTCACCTTTAATTGTAATTCGACCACGAACTTCATATCTAATCAATGTTGCCATTAATTGTGAGTATAGTAAAAACAACAATAACAAGAAAATACGTGCGCGTGAGTTCGTAGGTGTATTTTTCTTTTTCTATGAATCGGAAGTATGTTAAAAACTTGTCAATTATAAATGAAGAAAAGTAAAAAAGAAAAAGAAAAATGATTAAGTTGAAAGAAGAAATGATGTTTTTTTGTTTTCTTCTTTTTATTTTTCTCATAAGAAAAGAAAAATAAATGCATAATGATGATTTAACATGCACCACTCTGAATTGAAATATTATTTTGACAATGAAGAGTTATATGTAAATATTTCTGAGTGCATCAAACAGAACGAGAAAAATAATAATTAAAAAAAAAAAAAAAAAAAGATTTTTTTTTTTATTCTATTTAATTTTAGTTTAGTACAGTACCAGAACGTTATGATGAAATTTATTTACGTTTATCAAGACAAGGTGCACGTGTTCTTGCTTTAGGACATCGATCACTTGGAATTCTTTCTAATCAACAAGTTCGAGATAAATATTATTTGTTTTTTGTTTACAAAGAAAATTTTCTTTTTTTTTTCTAGTTACGTGAACAACATGCAACACGTGATTCTGTTGAATGTAATTTGGATTTTTGTGGATTTGTTGTACTTTCATGTCCCTTGAAACCGGATTCAAAAGCAATGATTCGAGAACTTCGTCATTCATCTCATCATGTAAGTGACAATTTTATTAAAAAGATTAAAAATCGAGTGATACACCAAATCCATTATGATAGTGAGATTTCTTTTTAGTTTCGAAATGATTTAAAATCATTATCCAAATTTTCCTGAAAAATAGTTTGAAGCGTTAAGATATCAAAAATTTAAATATTACAATTTTAGATCGTTTTCACACTGAAAAGAAATAGAATCATTATAATTACTTTGGTGAATTAATAATCTAAGGTCGACAGGTTGAAGTTGGATCTCTGAGGAATCCTAATAGCTTTTGAATAAAACAAGTTAGACATACTGGCTTTGTGTAAATCAAAGTGAAACGAACTAATCAAAATCCAATGAATTTTTTTAAAATATGGCACTCTGAGTTTTCAAAAGCCGTCCGAAAACCTAATAATTCTAACATCGCTATACTTTTCTCTTAATTGTTCTTTCGAATGTTAACAACTATAGAATACTAGCTTTTGTTGCTCGTGAGATATAAATCTGTTTGTACCAGTTGTAAAAGATCTTTTCTGAAAATTTTTTCGAACCGGTATTGAATACAACTTTGCAATCAATACTAAAAATTTGATTTCAATTCTTTTTTTTTTGTTTGTTTTAGTTAACGATGATTACAGGTGACAATCCATTGACTGCTTGTCATGTAGCTAAAGAATTACATTTTACACGAAAACCTCTTCTTGTTCTTACGGCTCCAACTGCTAGTATGTTAAATATAAAATAGAAGATTTTTTTCCGATCATGAATTACATTATTTTCTCTACATTTAGAATCAAACGAATGGAAATGGGAATCTGTTCATAAAGATACTCATTTGCCAATACAACCTGCTAATATACGTGATTTAACTCGACAATATGATCTATGTGTTACTGGAGAAGTAAAGAATAATTATTTCTTAATCTCGAAATTAATTACTCTAATTTTGTTTTCTTTTCAGGGCTTGGCATATCTTAGTACATTACCTATTTATTTTCTTAATACAATAATGCCTCATGTAAAAGTATTTGCTCGTGTATCTCCAAAACAAAAGGTAATATTATATTTATATATTTATAAATAAAGTTTTTTTTTTCATTTATTTCTAAATACAGGAACAAGTAATTATTAAATTAAATAATCTTGGTTTTGTTACATTAATGTGTGGTGATGGTACAAATGATGTTGCTGCACTTAAACACGCACACGTTGGTAAGTAGAATATTTCTTTTCATTACGTTCGATTGTTTTTTTTTCTTTTGTTTATTTCTATCTTCTATTTTAAAGGTGTGGCTTTATTAACTGGTGTAGCAGCTAAACGAGCTGAACAACAACAAGATAATACTACAAATTCAACGAATGCTATTCAACCACCTGCAGTAGCAACAGTAACACCTCAACCACAAATACTTACACCAGCTGAAATAGCGAATCGAAATCGTGAACAAGCAAAAGTATGACAAATTAATTATTGGAAAAATCAAAATTGAAAAAGAAAAAAAAAAAAAACCTTTTTTTTTGTTCTATCTTAGAAACGTTTAGAAGAACTTTATAAACAAATGGATGAAAGTGAACAAACAATTGTTCGTCTTGGTGATGCATCAATAGCAGCACCATTTACATCACGTACATCAACAGTTCAATGTGGTATGTCATCGTGTTCTTCTTTTATTTTTTTTTATAGTTCATTTATTTTTTTAAATATAATTTAGTTTGTCATATAATAAAACAAGGTCGATGTACTCTTGTAACAACATTACAAATGTTTAAAATTCTTGCTTTGAATGCACTTATCTTAGCCTATAGTTTAAGTGTACTTTATCTTGATGGTATTAAATTTAGTGATGGACAACATACATTACAAGGTCTTTTATTAGCTGGTTGCTTTTTATTTATATCAAGATCAAAGGTAAATACTTCGAATGATGAAATTATTTTTTTTTTGTCTTGAAATATTTTATGATATAATGACAAAGATTAGAGTCTCTAACGAAGTTTTATTTATTGTTTTTTGTTTTTTTTAGCCATTGAAAACATTAGCACGCGAACGTCCGCTACCAAATATTTTTAATCTTTATACATTAATTTCTGTTCTTGGACAATTTGCAGTACATCTTACAGCACTTATTTTTGTTGTCAATGAAGCACATAAAAGAATACCGCCAAGGTAAAATTGAATATATAAAATTTGTCAACTTGCAGCCCTTTTAGAGTCACAATGTAGACTTCACATTGGTTTTTGAGTTTCTTTATACTAATACCAAGTACCTGAAGTGAAAAATCTCTTGCAGACTATAGACCGAAGGCAAAAATCCTAAAAAAAAGATCTGGCCTCTTTGGTGCGAGTATCCAATGTCAATTAGAAAGTTTTATTTAGAGTATCAAAGTACGATTCGGTCGAGCTTGACTCCAAAGAATTTCAACCAGCTACACCCTGATTCTTTCCTTTTACCGTGAAGAGCGAATCGCAAAATTTCGGCTAACAACTTAGTCTCAGTTTATTTTTTTTTCGAAAAAGCATAATATGACTTCCCAAAAAATGAATTATATTTTTGTTTTATTTTTTGAAGAACTGAAGAATTTGTTGATTTGGAAGCTGAATTTTCACCTAATCTAGTCAATTCAACTGTTTATATTATGTCAATAACATTACAAATAGCGACATTTGCTGTTAATTATCAAGTTAGAATTTAAAAAAATTATATTTAATATAAAAATTTCAATTAATTTTCTTTATTTTACTTTGTTAGGGTTATCCATTTATGGAAAGTTTACGTGCGAATAAACCACTTCTTTATAGTATCATATTTTCCTTTACACTTGTTTTAAGTCTTATATTTAATTTACTTCCACAACTTACAGAGCAATTTCAAATTGTACTTATGCCTGATGATGTAAGAAATAAAAATTTTTTTGTTTTTTGTATTACCATAGAATTTTATTATTTTATTTAGATGCGGCTTATTGTTTTTTATGTTGTAATTGGTGACGTTATTTTAGCATATATCATTGATCGAGTTTTGGCATTCTTTCTTGGACAAGCTAAATTAAAAGAATATTAATGTTGTTTGTTTTTCTCTATTGTATCATTTTATGAAAAAAAAAAAATCAAGATTTGTCTTTTTTCCGATCTTTAAATATAATATGTGCAAGATTTAGAAAATTGTTTTTATGTTTTATAGCATGAATTATTGATGAATATATATATATATATACGTGTTGCTAATAATAATTAACTCTATTCGTGGAAAATTATGAATTTGAAAGATGTCAGAAAAAAAATGATTCAAGTCCGAGCTCGAGATTCTAACCATCGATAGAATCGCATTCGTATTTCAGTTTAATCAAAATTATTATTATTCAATTAATACTAGTCGCAAAAAGTCCTGCTACAAGATACGAACCACTAAAATTTGATCACAAGGATAATTAAAAGCTCGATTGACTTGTGTTCAGAGAAGTCAGAAGGTAAACATAGCGATTTTGTTCCGACAAGCATATTTCGGCATAGGTAACCAATCTCAGAGCCTTTGATCTTTCTTATTTGAGGGCACTAATGTAAGAACGTTTCCAAGTATCAAAACGCTCTGAAATCATGACTAATGGCTAAAGAAATCATGAAAGTGCAATATCTCGGCAGTGATAAACTAATAACTGCAAAATTTTTCCAGTGTTCAGATCTCATTAGGGTGTATATGATGGACATAGTCTTTGATCAAGATTGATTTGACATTTCGATCTGTTTCCTCATTAGCATTGCCTTCATCATTGATATGAATCTTATGTCGAACGATTTTTGTTTTGCCTAATTTATGAAATAATCTTTCGTAAATGTCGGCATAACAACTGATGATATTAGCTAAAAAGTGACCTATAAATTCAATTAATTTTGATCGTTTACCCTCAGGTTTTTTCTCAGAATTTCAGGATGGCAAGCATCAACGGAAAGAAGATTCATGCTGAAATCATCTCAGATAATGGGATCTTTTTCCGCACCTTAGGATTACAACGGGTAGCAGTACCCCATCTCTAAAACAATACAGACGTGCGAAATTTTATCAGCTCAAAATAGTAGAGAACTAGAAAAATATCAAAAAGAAGTTTTTCTTGAGCTCTAGGCAAAAAATTACTAATGCTTTTAGCTTCAGTTCATTGCATATGGGCCGATCAACCTTGGGTATTGCACTTTTTATCATTGGAATTCTTTTCTGAATTTGTTCAAAAAATATTTCGGAAATTAGAACACAAACGAAGAAGAAAACATTCATTAAGTTTTGGTGTATGATACGTTTTTTATTTCTATGCATTCCCATTCTCTTTAAATGAATACGATATATGTTTAATTGTATTATTTTTAATTTATTTGTAGATAGTTTTTTTTTAAAGTAAACTTTTGAGGATATGATTTTAAAAGAATGTCATTGACAGAAAGAAAACGAAATTCAGTACTTAATCCATCTTTACTTGAATCAATTACTCAAACAATTTCTCAATCGATAATAACAACAACAACTTCGCCATCAGATCAATTAGCAAAACTTACTGTGAATACGCCTACCACAAGTTCATCTATAGAAATTATTTCTGATGTACCACAACTTGCAGCAAGAGCGTTCGTACATTCTCTCTTTACGATTTATTCAAAGGAATCTTTTCTTTTTTTGCCTCTTACAGAGAAAAACAGGTAGCATCTGAAGAACAAACACCATTAATACCATTGTTAACATTAAAACATGAATTTCAATTTCCATCGCAAACACCTAGACGGTCAAATAATTTTTTAAAAGGATGTAAATGGTAGTTTTGATTTTTTTGTCAAATAATAAAAAGAAATTAATATCTTCACACATTTCAGGTCACCCGATGGTCTTTGTCTATTGACAAATAGTGATGATAATCAATTACGTGTATTTGAAATTCCATGTGATAGATTGCCTTCAAATGAAGACCTTGTAAGTATCTTATGTCTTATCATATGGTTTAAGAAAATATAACGAGTGTTTCAAGAATAATTAATATTTCTAAACATATCTCACAGTGGTCAAAAATGGAAGTAAGGGAGGAAGTAAAGTCTTTTAGAAAAGCTCGACTATGGTTGTAGAAGACCACCTTTAAAACTTGACAGAATGAAAGAAAAATTTTTGTCAATCATCGAGTAAAAATCAACAGTTTCTCCAAAATTGGTTGAGTGAATGAAGAGAAGATGCATTCTCACATTGTTTGTCGCACAATAAATGATATCAAATATATAGTCTAAAGTTCTGCTGATCAAAAATAGTGTCGTTCTAAGACTATTTAATTTTAGAGAAACCGACTAGAGATATGAATTAGGGAATGGTTAACACCGAAAGATGCTCTTATTAAATAATTAGAACATCTTTTCTGTATCTTCGACTATTCATCTGAAACTTGTCCTGAAAAATAAAGAATATTATTTAAATTAATAATAAATTATACTATTATATAGAGAATTAAAAGACATAGGTTTTAAAAAGGAAAGCAAAAGTGTGAATCAAAGAATTTTCAAAGATATATCATTAAAATACAAAGAGATTTATTATTTGTGAAACACTCGTTATAAATAGAAATCTTTAGAATGCTGTTCTGCATCTTCAAGAACCAGAATTAATCTATGATTTTGAATGGTATCCATATATGGATTCAACACAAAGTGATACTTGTTTGTAAGAGTTCATCATCTTTGAATATATATTGAAATAAACTTTTTTTTTTCTTCTCTTCTATTTAGTATCTTTAGTAGTTGTCGTGATAATCCTGTACATTTATTTGATGCATATACTGGTCAAGTACGGGCATCGTACAAAGCTTTTAATCATTTGGTAAAATAATGGATTTTTTTTTAAAATAATAGTAAGAAGATCATTTTGTTTTTTTTCTAAGGAAGAACTTGTTGCTGCTCATTCATTAGCATTTGAATTACAATCATGTAGACTTTATTGTGGATATGATCGTATTATTCGTGCATTTGATATTCAACGACCTGGTCTTTGTATTGGACAATGGAATACATTTGGTGATACTTTTGATTAATATTTTATTTCAAATAGAATATCTTCTTTTTTTTCAGACCGTACAAATAATGTTTATCAATCTGGAATTATTTCTTGTTTATCATTTAATCCTCAAATATGTGGCATGTATGCTGCTGGATCATATGCTAAAACAAGTGAAATGAATTTTCAAAATAATACAACCAAGGTTTTATTTTTGCTTTGTTTTAGTTGGCATTTATGGAGATATGAATGGAGAATTAATAGCAGTTCTACATGGTCATATTGGTGGCATAACTCATATTCGGTTTTCGTCAGATGGCCATCGACTTTATAGTGGAGCTAGAAAAGTAAGTAGTATAAATAGAAACAAAAAAAAGATAGGCTTATGCATTCTATTGCTAGGATGGAATGATTCTTTGTTGGGATATACGAAATTTAGGAGAGGTTTTATGTACTTATCAACGTCATGTTAATACAAATCAACGTATTTATTTTGATTTTGATCCGTAAGATAATTTATTTTTTGTTGTTTATATTTTGAATATTTTGTTTCATCCAGAACTTTTACTATGCTCGTTACTGGTAATTCAAATGGTCATGTATTAGGTTGGAATATTAATGATTCATCAACTCCAGCACTTAATTTTTTAGCTCATAATGATTGTACAAATGGTATTAGGTATGATAGATTTTTTGCATTTCATTGATGAAAAAAAAAGTTCATTTTTTTTTGTCCTATTTAGTATTCATCCAAAACGGCCATTACTTGCCACGTCATCAGGTCAACGACATTTTGCTGGTGATGTACAAGTTACTATTAGCGAAGATGAAGATGAAGAAAATCTCTATGCTGAATTTAATTTAAAAAAAATTCCGAAAGAAAATTCTGTAAAAATTTGGTCACTTATGAAATAAAGAGAAAATGCATTTTTATTTTAAAAAAATGTTGTATAAGAAGGTTTGATTGCTTCACTACCTTTTATTTCATCACATGGAAAGCAAGTGCCACGTATGCATTCAAAGATGAAACAGGTACTCGTACAGCTCAGCATGAAACTATTAAAAGTATATTTTATTTATGAAATGAACTTTTACATGGTGGAAATGGGTAATCATTGCAATCATTTATATGAAAATTTTTTAAAGTTGATTATCATAATGATCACGACGCAAGATGCGTTCGTCAATACTTCAACTTTCTGAAGATATAATTGATTAATATACACTATCACAAGATGTAACTTAATGTACATGATGATGTACTTGATCGTATGTGTGAATAAGGAATATTATTAAATTGCATAAATACTCTGCTTTTATTTGTTAGGTAAATGAAACTTTCAAAGTGTTTGTATAATAATAATACCTGATTGTTATCAGTTGCGAGATGCAAAATCCAAATAATTTTGACTAAAACTCATTAAAATGATACTATTTAATTCTAATTTAAATTTGATTTTTCCAAATTAAAGATAGATTTCAATTATTTTTAGTCTTTTTTGATCGATTACGAAAGATTAAAATCAGATTTTTTTTTCTTTTCTTACATGGAAAATCATGCTTGAAACAAAAAAATCAAGGTAAGGCCTGGTAGCCTATTTTGAGGACTTATCTTTAGGAATCAAAAAAATTTTTTCATCTTTAAATTAAAACTTTTGTATTGAATTTTATAAAATTCATTGGTTTGATCACCAACATCATATTTTTGTTAAGTTTTGACTTAATATAAGGAGGTAAAACTTATTCCTGACTCTAAAATTTTTTCAAATTGAAATCGATGACAGAGTTTTGTGATCTATGCATTATCTCTCAGAGGACTCAGTTATTTTAAAATGAAATAAAGGTTTTATTTGGTGTTTTACAATTGAAAACATGGATGTATATTACAATTTTATAAAAAAATTGATTCTGGTAAGAGATTATTAACAAACTAATCGCTATAACATTTCTCGCATATTCTTTCTAATTCCTAAGAAATATAAACAGTTGGATTCAATCGACTTCAGTTCAATTATCTAAACAGCAATTTAAAAATGGATTTCCGTGTCAAAAACTTACAGGAATTTAGGACACTAAAGTCTTAATATGTTTCCTATTATACGATCAAACTTGATTAATAGTATACTATTTATGGTCAACCCATTGAATTCTATAAGATTGAATCCAAACATTTTAAATTCTAAATTAAAAATATTTTATTTGGATGTCTCCATAAATGCACAAGTGTCACTAGATAATGATTGTATGAAATCAAACATAGTGCAGTCGTCAATTCTTCTTTTGGTACTTTTTGGTTAATTACCTTGACAAAAAAAAATTGAATGTACTTTTTCATGTGATCGAAAACATTCATAACAGATTGTTTATTTCCCACCAACATCATATTTATTGCCAGTATAACAAAACACATTTTCATTTGACTATCTATCGAAGAAAAAAATCATGTACAAGGCTTTTGGTTTGATTGTTCTTCTTGCTGTTGGGTATGTATCCGCTGATCCACATAAATTTAATGTTCAATCACGTCATATTAAACGTGCTCTATTACCATTGAAACAACAAAGTAATGGTATTGATTGGTGTCCACAATGTGTTAATTCATTTGGTGATTTAATTGAACTTGTTTTGGATGCTGTTCTTCAATTTGGTGTTATGAGTACATGTGGTGATGTATGTGATTTTGTTGCTGAAAAGTCAGGATCAAGTTTACTAGGATTCATTTGTACAATTGGTTGTGATATTTTGGGAATAGAAGAATTTATTAAATTAATTGAAAAAGCTGATCTTGATCCAATTTATTATTGTGAAACAATAAAACTTTGTCCAAGTAAAACAAAATATTGTCTTTTTTCTTTTAATTAAATTTAAAAAGAAAATAATCTTTGTTTTCTATTTTAGTAAATGATAATGGTGATGCTAAATTTAAATCATTTGTTATTTTACCACCACATGCTCCTGTTTATAGTACATTTACTATTGATTTTGCTTATGTATCTAATAATGGAACTGGTACTGGTGAATTAATTATTACAATAAAAACCGTTGATGGCGTTCCACTGTCAACTAGTTTCTTACTTGAAGAACAAAAACCAGGCACCTATGCTGAACGTTTTCTTCTTGATGCTTCTCCTGATCCAGATTGTGATCCTGCTCAAGGTAAAATTTATTTATTATTTTATTAAATAACAACAAAAACTGTTTTGCTAAATTATAGAACAATGTGAAAATTGGTTTCCTGGTATATACAATGTAACAGTTTTTATTTGCAATGGACAATGTGGTTCACATCATCCTCATACTCAACTTTATGATTCAGTTGCTGGTTCATTTCAAATTACTGAATAATAATAAATAGTGTGTGTTCATTTTTGTTTGTTAAAAAAGAAACAATAAATTGTGTAGTTATCTCCTCTAAGCTTTCTCTTTGTATGAAAACATATTTTAGTTTTATGAATTGAAATAAAAAATACTATAAGATTTATTCTCTAATGAATAGCAAAAAGAATGTTCAAAGGATTCTCTATTATTTTTATATACATGATATATTAATCTTTAAATTCGAATGATAATAATAATAATACATTATCCATAGAGAACATCGAGGGGAAAAGGGAGTACCAGCAAAAATTGAACGTTTCGAGACGGGGTGAGAAAATAAGAATCAGTCGTATCTGGATGTTGGAACATTTATTACGATATTTTCAAGTTGAGTTGAATATGAACAGTATTGTCAAAAGAGCAAGTAATATGAATTTTATAACGCGTCATCTTTGAATAAATCATGTATATAAAACGAATATCGACAAAAAAAAAACAAAGAAAAGTATATTTGAGCAGATAGGCTATTTCTAAAAACATTTCGAAGACCGAATGTTGAGTGGAGTGAAGTCATTCAAACTGGGATAATTGGAGATTTAAAAAAGCGATTTTTACTGTGACACCCTCTAAAGACGACTTTCAAATCAACTTTTCTTTCTTTCATTATAGCCCATATTTGAATTACTGATGTCACTATAAATATATCTGTAAATAGGACAGCATCTACTTTACACGTATTGATTTTTGTCAATTTCAATATATATTTTTAGAAGATAATTCTTCTGAAGTTTTATTCAATATCTAGTGAAATATATTTATTAACCTAGATCTTAATTGTCAAGTAACATAGGAAAACAGGTCACATAAGAGTCTCAAATTAAAAAAAAAAGTATTGTGTGAAAATTTGACCATTTGTGTTAGATTAGTTCTATATTTATGCTTAACTATCCTCAACAGGTTTTTTTTCTTCTCACTAGAAGAATATTTATTGGCAGTATTTTCGAACATTAGCAGTCTTTAACGTTAATAATATAAAAAAACATATTCACGCACAAAATGTATAAGGCTCTTAGTGTCATTCTTTTTGTTGTTATTGGTATTTCAAATGCTGCTCATTCATTCAATACTCCATCAATAAATTTACAACGTTTTTCATCTGATACTCGAGACCAAAATGTTGGTATTAATCTTTGTTCAATGTGTATAGATGAAGCTGTAGAAGCAATTAATGTTATACTCAATGTAATTCTTGATGAAGGCATTATGGAAAATTGTGAAAAATTATGTAGTATTGTTGCTAATAAAACAGGTGTACCATTTATTGGCACTGTATGTGATTTAGCATGTGATGCAATTGGTATTGATGAATTTATTCATTTAATTATTGCAGCTGATATTGATCCAATTTGGTATTGTGAAATGGCTCGTTTATGTCCAAGTAAGATTTTTAAAAAGAAAAACAGAAATGAATTTTTATCTATCAAACTATTTTTAATTTATAGTTAATGATCATGGTGATGCTAAATTTATAAAATTTAATGTTTTACCAAATACTGGTCCACAAGGTACAACATTTGTTATTGATTGTTCATTCAAATCTATGAATGGTACTGGTACAAGTATGCTACGTTTGGATATTACTGATCCTCGTAATGAAACAGATAGTAATGATTATTTGATTGAAGCAGAAAAACCTGGTACATATACCGAAAAAATTGGTCTTAGAACTTTAAATGCTTGGAATTGTGATCCGACAAAAGGTTAATTTAACTCTAATTTGTCTGGTAATAAATTCTTTTTTTTTCTCTTTTTAATAGGACTTTGTGATGATTTTCCAGTCGGTACCTATAATGTCACTGCACAATTCTGTAATGGTGAATGCGGTTCACATCATCCACATTCACAAACATATGATGTTGGAAAAGCTTCATTTACTGTTACGAAAAAGAAATAAATTTGTTTATTAATGAATAAGAAATTTCAATAGATTTGTTAAAATTTTACTCATATTTCAATTTAATCCATTTTATAGAATAAAGTCTTTCTAAAATAGAAATATCATATTAGTAATCATTTGATAATAATTTAGATTTTGATATTATAAAGGATGGGAGAGGGGTGGGGGCGCATAAAGGGTCAAATAAATTCATTCTTGAATTGTTAAAATTCATGCATGTTTCGACGCAGAATTTTATGCTTAGTTGTTTGATGATACTTTCAAATCGACTCAATAACATTTAGAGCAATAATAATCTGAAATAATATCCTTAACTGCCATCGTCTAAATCATAAGATTTCTTACTGATATTTTTGTACAGTGATATCCCTTTCATTTCGAGATGGTCTCATTAGGTAGAGCGTTGAGTTTCACATCGATTCGTTTAAAAATATGCCTATAGAAAAAAAAATATTTCGGTCGCTTCTATTTCTTCTTTCATTGACAGTGCATGATAAATTAGCTAAAAATTATGCCTTGCTATTTGTGCTGTCGATCGATAAGGAATCACATCGTTTGGTTCATTTCAATCTTCATACAACTAATCGATAGCGCTTTCAACACACTACAAGATTATAGATCTTTCAAACTTCGAAACTACTAGTCACTTAAGAACCCTCTAGAAGGTTATGCTCAAAACATGATTTGGTACTTCGATGACTAATATTCAGCACATATCAGTCGGAAGAACACAATTTGAGCCAAAACTAATGATATACTTGGAACCAGCACTAAAAACTGATTTGACTTCTAAGTGTATCAAGTTTTGTGCAAAATATTATTGTTCTTTCGAAAATTCATGCTTAATTGTGCGCAAGGGCTAGTCAAAAAATGTTTTAACTGCAACTGGTTTTTATCACAGCAGTATCAGTCGCTAATTTTTTCAGATTTGAGATTAGAATACTTGATATGACAAACCTCTTTAGTCTTCGTTGAAATTCGAGGGAAACGGTTGAGGACCGACCCTACTTAGCAGAAGTGCATCATATAAGGTTTTTTGAAGAAAGTGTAAAGACGAAGAGGCACTTTAATTAATCATTTACAATACGACTTTACTAAATATGTTTCAAGGTTAGAAAGATTTCTGCACGTGTGACATGTTTAATACTAAAAAAAAACTAACAAGCTATGAAATTGTTTCGAAAAACGCCGGATTGTAGAAATGTTCTTTGAATGTATCGACGGCTTCATCATATGAGACGTATTTTTGAGTTAATTCTAATCATACTGTTTTTGTGCAGATTTCAATTACAATCAATAACAATATTGACTGCATCATGATTTCTTTGAAGAAAAATACTTATTTCTACTTTTTATAGAATAAAGAAGTTATTACATTGAAAAAAATTTTATTTTTCGACGCTATTTTGATTGGGAAACAGAAATATATTCAGTTACTTAATTAAGTTGGTAAAAAAATAGGTTAAATCAACGATTTTATTTATTAGTCAAAGGTAATCATGTCAAAGATGAAAGGCAATAAAACTTATTTTCGATTTCATTCAAATATTCATATCAACTTCGGTTGGTCATGAAATTTGTGTGAATTGAAACGCTTTGAGTAGATTCTGCTGTTTTTGATATTCGTGTAATAATCGCCACAACTAGAACGATAAAACTATGAATAAATGCAGTAATAAAAACGACCAAGATAGTTATTTTTAGATTGTATGCTATGGAACTGTCACAATTATCCAAATAGTGTATTAAATCACATCGTTTTGACCAAACTACCTTTAAGATAGTCACGACGAGTGCCAGTATACATTGGAGCGAACACGAACCAAATAATACAATCAGACTAGTAGTCACATGAGACTTTGTACGTACTACAACTAACATAAGAATCCCTCCAACAATTAGAAAAGAACTTGCTATGAAACCGCCATAATATGTCCACGTAGACTGATAAGCAAGACCGATTTGGATACCAATACCTAATGCACCCCATATCAAATAAAGAATACCCGAAATGACAAAAAACACTCGAAATCTAGATGTAATCGATTTTGGTATCAAATTATCCGTGGATGATCGATGGGTAGCTACAACAGGAGCTCCTTGTGGTTGATTGATTGATTTTGAACCATCAGGTGAAATTTGATTACCGTGGATACTTCCATAGTTACTATAACCTAGTTTGTTTGAATCATATTGCATTGTTTCAATGTTTACTATAGCTCCAAATAGTTTATTTCTTACTGTAGTTGTTCTCTCTTTCAGTATCTCTGCTACGCAACTTTTATATTTCTTTTTTTAATATTATTTGCTCTGTTATCACAAATAAAAAAGACAGCATATGAGGATAAATATTTTTTTGAGCCCGCAATTAGACAGATTTGAGCCCGATGAAATTCGTCCGGGCTCAAAAAAATGTTATGTGTCTGTTGAGCCCGGCTATCCATTGTTTTGAGCCCGGCCGTAAGATATTGTGTAGATGGCACGTGCATGATAAATTTCATCAATACGATAGATTATCATGATGCGTAACTTGTGTACATTCAGTATTTTTTGAATTTCTTACACGTTTGTTATTGTATTTCTTAAACATTTCACTATGCCCAACCGAACGTGGAATATTGTCGACAAATTTTTCAG